TTTTTTTTTTCTTCAGTGTCCCTTTGGGGCTCCCCAGAGTTTAAAAAAAAAAGGAGGGTTTTTTTTTTTTTTTTTTTTTTTTTTAACACTAATAATAAATATCAGAGTATATTCTAAATATTCTTTTTTTTTCATTTAGTCTGTAACTGCTAGACATATTTCCAATAATTGTGTGTTTCACTTGTGTTTTTTTCAGTAATCAACCCAGATGATGAAATAACTCTGAGGACGAAGGACAGAAGATGACAGTTTTGAGGACAGCAGGACTTTTTTGGTTTCTGATTCGTGATTGTGAGGGGGGTAACCTGGGTGGTGCTGGGGATGGGTGCATGCTCATAGCTTCAAGGATCACCATGATTAACTTTGGCTATGCTTGTTTTCCAACCTGAGCAGCTGAGTGGAGATTTTTACCTTTCTTGCTCAATAAAATTGTTTAAAACTCCATCTAACTCACAGCATCAAAACAATTCACTCAAACAATAAATTGCTTCACTGGATAACATGATTTTTATTTTTATTTTTTTTTGCAATCAAATCATTTCATTAACCCATGGTGTCTTGTTTTGCTTGGTGTCTTAATTCAGTGATTAAGCAGTAAGCTTTTCTGTTTTGTAATACTTATTTAATTTGTTTCCTGTCTGCTGGGGATATTGAGAAAAACTATAATCTTTTATCTCACTCACTTCTGTGGAGAATTTCCTCGCATAAGGTTATCCTTCAAGCAAACCGTTTCTGTTAAATCTTTGCTTCAGAGTCTGTATTTGATTTGCTGGCGTTTTACATTATTGTTGCCAGCTGCTTGTGTTTGGCATAAATTTATTTTCAAAATCCATAACTTTTAATAGAATCAGGCCAGGTACTTAATCACTCTCTTTAGAATCCCAAATGGTGTCAAATTCAGTTTGAAAAAAACGACAAACAAGCCAGCATTTTTGGTTGTACAATTTTTTTTTAACATTTTCATTTGCATTTATGTATATGATGTCAGTTTCTGGGAGTTTTGTTGTTTCTTTTTTTGTTTGTTTTGTCTTTTGCTTTGCTGTTGTCCTTCCCTGCAAGTTCAGAGACAGTTTTTCTTGTGAGAGAACGTGGTGAAATTGGTTCCTACTCTTGTGTTTGGTGTATCTTGAAATCTAGGAAGGACTTCAGTCTCGAATTAAGTGAGTTCTGGTAGCAAGTCGGGAAAAACTGTGGAATTAGCTTGGAACTAGCGTTAGATACTAGCTATTAAAAGTGTTTTTTTCCCTCTATTTTTATGCATGTAAACTTAAATCTGTTCCCAAATAGTAGCTGCACTGTTTCAAGTTACAAGCTCTCAAAAGTGGAAGTAAACAGTTATTTCCACAGCTTCAGCTGTGTTTCATTTATGTGCAGCAGCCATATTGAATATAAGCTCAAGCTGGCTTGGGACCTCCGACTTTACAAGTGAAATTTCCAAATTTTGAACATTCAATTACATTTTTCAGATGGGGAACTACAAATTATGACATTAGAAAAAGAAGCTGTGTTTCATTTGTTACAATTGGAGTATATTTGGATGTCCACCTCTCACATCTTTATGATCTCTATTTTAAACTGTAAAAGTAGAGATCTTTAGCAAAAGTCTAAAACATTAGCTTTTTCTTCTATTACAGAAAAATGGGATTTTCAGGAGGTGCAGGAGCGCAGTCATAACTTCACCTGTTAGAAGTAAGACTAGTTTGGAGCATGCAGGGAAGAGAGAAAACAAGATTTGGGGTTGTTTCTGGAATATATGAGGTGTGTCTTTATTTTTTTTTATATATATTTTTTACCAGTTTAAATGTGGCGACAGACACATCACATTGTCAGTGTTCAGGTACGTAATTCAGACATTTTTCTTTCACTGTCAGCAGGCCAAATAAGGTTGGGTAGCAGGTTGATTCCATTTTTTTTACTTTGTGATACACTGGAACCAATTACCTTAATAGATTTCCTGAGAAAAGGTCACCTCAAACAACTATCTGTGGCCAGAAACCTTTTATTTTTTTTTTTTCATTGTCAGTTGTAATTATTCAGCAGAAATGATGCTTTGATTGTTGTCCTTGCTTTTTCTTTTTTGCCATGTTTTATATAATAATGTTGCCGTATATAATTTTTTTTTTTTTTGTTGATGTTTTTTTTTTTTTTTCTAGAAAGGGGATTCTTAATTTTGGAACTACTGAGTTTTATTGTTTCCACACTTTTATCCGCTTGCTGAGAAAAGATAGAATTGTTTGGGACATTTTGCATTACTTTCGATTTTATTTTGTCAAATGAGATGTTCTCAGTGCTTTACTTCTTTCTCTTTTTATTGTATGCTGTATATTTTGTGGTACACTGTTTGTGATCATTGTGGTGTGTTGATGTATCTTGTTTTTACTTTTTTTTTCCAGCTGTTTAGAATTTATAATGAAACAAAAGAAAAAAAGAAAAAAAAACCTCAAGAAAGCCCGATACTCTGTGGTTTTATTTCCCTCTGAGTTGATTGTGGTTTTATAACTGTAGAAACATTTCCAGTAACTATGCAGTAAAACCCACATAACATCATTATAAGTACAGATGCATCTTAATAGATTAAGACCATGAATAGACTAATTACTTTCAAAGTATCTTACAGATATGTGGTTATTCATATTAATTTTGGGTATTAGTATATTAATTTTAACATTTCATCCACTTTAAATGAACCAGAGTTTGTTTGCCCTGTTGGTTCAGACCTTTGGACCAGCACTCTCTTTTTGAGGTGGTCCCGGTCCACTTCCAGACGAACTCTGGTGCCGTTCGCTTCAGGTGTGAATACAGACCGGTCTTAACACTAACCAACTACAGGAAATATACATATTTTTGAACTTCATGAGCTGCTGTTGGTGGGCATCATGGTAAAAATCAGCCCTTCTGTGTTGCCCACACTACTACTCAATGTATTGATTGTACTGAAATCATACCTGATTCACAGTTTTCTGCGTACCGATGCTACTGTCACCATGTTGTAGATCAGAACACGCAGAGCCTCCGGTCTCATTCAGCATGCAGCACACATTTGCCGACACTTTCAAAAATCATAAAATCTGTGCTGTATGAGCTGCTCTTGACATTCAAAATGATATTTAAGTTGCAATTAGAATACCAACATGCATGACAGAAGTGCAGGATTTACAGTTTCTTTTTTCCGTGTCTGTGCTCTCTCCTGCCCACATAATTTCAAGTCAAATGGGAGCAATGATGGTCGTCTGTTTCGTTTACAAATTACAGTCTGCTTGCAAAAAAAGTACAATGTGGGAGCAAAATGCGACAATAAAAGAAAGCTTGCCAAACGCATTCCTTCCTTACAACTTTCCATTAAAATGCACACTAAAATACATCACTTTGTGAACAACCCATTTTGTTAGCACTTATACATGCACATACATTTTCAGCAAACATCTTCAAGTTAATTGGCAAGTCAAGAGCATTTACAGCAACTGAATGGGCCTTAAAATTATATTTTTATATGAAAAATCCTTTTTATTTCTATTACATCATCTTCCAATTTTCTGATAATTTAATTTGAGTGAATATTTGTTGCAAACCACAATAATTTTTTGAAAGTATATTTCTCTAAATCTGAGTTTCAGGTTTTTTTTGTTTTTTTTTAATTGAACTACAAAATAAAATTTGATTCAATAATATTTTTGCATAGCATTCATCGTTCCAGAAGGTCTGTCCTGCCAACAGCCACCACGATCTTCAATAACTCTTCAAATAATCTAAATTAATGAGTTATAACAAGATTTAATTTCCCTTTGGGATTAAAGTGTTTTTGAATTGATTTGAATATTAAAATGCACCTGAATGCACCCTACATTCACATGCCAGCCATCAAATCCCTCTTGATGTAATTCAGTTTTTTTCATTTGCTTTCTAGAAAAAAAATACATCTAACTGGATTTCCATCATCTACCACATTTTGATATATTTGATTTAACGTTATGCAAATCTTTACGGCTGATCTCATGATTTATTCTGACAGAACAGAAAAATGGAGGAACACGTTTTGCATCCGTGATGCGTTTATGGGTTTTCTCTCTACTAAATTTTATGATGCTGGTTTCTTTCATCACACCATTGTTTCCTGAAATTAGTTCCATCAATCATGAGCAAATTGCTCAGTTGCTTTGTGCACAGATCAGTACAAGTCAGTGGGATGACTTTGGAAATCATGACTTGCCTCCCAATCTGATGCTTCCATCAAAAGCAACAATAATCACTACACAAAATTAACAAAATCTTCAGAATTTAGAAATTCTGTTTGATTCTTTTAGCTTTTAACTTTGTACCAGAACAGTGAGATTTACCTAACACCTTCATATGCAGCTTATGCATACGTACATTACGGCCAAAATGAGAAAAGATATTAATTTTAGACTTTACTCCAACTTTCGTTGCTAGAGTAGACATGGTAAGACAAAAGAAGAATTGAGTCCACATGATTTAATTTAAAGCGGATCTTCTCTAATGCACTCCAGGTGAGAACAGGGCATCGAGAAAGCCACATCAAATGCTTAATGTAGCCAAAACCAGATTTGATGTGTGTTTCTGGGATGTGCAAGGCATGCAGAGATGTTAGCTGCCACTTTCCTGACCTTGGAGGAAGAAAGGTCAGCCCTGATGACCCTTCCTGCAGTTTAACTCAGCTGGTTGGAGGTGTGTAAATGTGCAACCTGAATAAATTCTGTTGAACATTTTTATGGTCAGACAAAACAAACTTTGAGCCATTAGACCGCAATGACAAGATGTGTGTTGGAGAGGTTCAGGTAAGACTTTCAGACATAGTGGTGGCATCATCATGAACTGAGGGATTTTTAACTAAATATTAGGAGAAGTGTATGCACATATTAGACTGTGTGGATTACAGGAAATCAAAAGGAACACAGAAAATCAAATTTGTGGATCTAATTTGTATTTAAAATATTTACTCATTGTAGTTCAAATAATAGATAAAATCTAAAAAAAAAAAAAAAATCATGCTGATGATGTGTTTGTGTAAACCTTTTACTGGAACCATGCTCCGCCGTTCTGGTTGGAGTCATTGTAGCGACACACACCCACTGCACTGCTGGTACTCCATTAGGAAATTAAAAGTCTCTTGTCAAAGTGACCCAGTCAATGTGTGCTTTGAATACAAAGCAGCAAAACTGGAAGCAAGCGGCCAAAGAGGGAAAAGACACAAGCATTTCACCAAAAACACTTACAGGTGACTGTCCCTTTGTGTCTATCGATGTGGTTGCATTTGCTCTTTATGAGCTTTTCTCAAATTATTGAATCGACAGTGAGCATTTTGAAGGATTAAGAAAAAATTGCTGTTTTCAAATGTACATTAGAAGTTACTAGGTTTTCTATTAGCAATTAAAATGTTGAATAATTGTTGAAATTCTATATCAGAGACAAATCCTCGATTAAAGCTCTGCAGTGTTTGAAGAATTTAACAAGGGTTTAGAAGTGTGATATGAATCAAGAGAGTGTGTATTTATGAGCATGTGATTTTCTCAAGCTTTGTTTTAGAAAGAATGAGCGGGATCAGAGCATTTTTCAGTCTCTAACTATGATACGGATTACTGTCATTCGCACCAAAGTCCTTCCTTCTTTCCCTCGACCCGCTGGGAGCCTTCCTTCTTCCTTCAATGGGTTTTAAGCTGCAGTAGCTTTAAACTGATTTAGCCATTTTCTGTCAGCCTATTGAGAAATGACAGCCACTGTCTGTCCCCTTCTTCCTCTTCAGCCCACGTCCGGTCGTTACTCAGCAGCTCTTGGCTCAACCTCTATAACAGAGAGTAGCAGGGGCCGCGCAGAAAGAAACACAAGCTGTTAGAATTTAACCAGCGAAAAGCAAAGCATGTAAATACCCTATCAACCTAGAATAAAATGTGCATATTTTAAAATAGTAATACACATTTTAAATCTGTTCTAAGGAGATGGCATGTAAATTTTTGTTTCCTTGACAACCGCAGCTAAAATATGTTAATCGTTGGGATGTCTACCTTGTAGGTAAAAAGTTCACCATGAGAGCAAGTTTGACTCATTAGCATCATCACTAAGGTATTGTAATCAAATGAAAACTATTTAAACGTATTCTCTCAAGGTGGTATACAAGTGTTTTACTTTTATTTTATTTTGGGCTGTTTGTTTACCTCATTAAGCAATAACTCTAAGGTAAAAAAATAAAATCAAAATCTCAACTTAACGCAGATTTATTTAGACTGATCAGTTTAAAATTTCATCCAGAAAACAAATTACAAACCAAAACGTAATTGATCTCATCTTGTTGATATTATTGCTATGGAAATTTCAGTATTTTTATTTCAGAATGAAGAATAAAAAGGGACGGGATGAAGACAGATTTACATATGTGTACACTTGGGGATGAAAACAATAAACAATTTTATCTTAAGTGTTTCCAAAAGCTCAGTTAGTGCAGGTTGTTCTTTGAAAATAAGAGACTTTCTGTATGATGACACTAAATTTGTGTCATTTTCTCATAAACAAAATGTAATCTGTTCAGTATAAATCATAATTTCCAACTGGACCTATTAAACTCTCATACAGACTCAGCAGCTCTAAGCCTTCTAAGTTAAGTCGTTAATTCAGCCTTGTAATTAATATTTCAGCCTTTTTTTTAATATTGATGTTTATGCCTTACTGATAGTAAAAGCATACTATCAGTAAAGGTTGTAAAGGTGATGATGCAGCACTGATGTTACTAAGCCAAATGAGGAACGGAGTTTAATTCACTCAAAAAAAAAAAAAAAGTCAGTGTGCTTTTAGATGTGAAATCCCAACACATGAAGCTACAGTGAACCTCTCCCTATTTGCAACTCAGTATTCATGGATTCACCCATTCTATTTTTTTTCTGTGGAACATAACTCCAAATTATTCCCACAAAGTGCCTGCTCACAGATTTATTTCGATATTTGTATCTAAAATATTCAAAAGAAAATGCCTCTTGGGAAGGTGAACCACCTTGGCACAGTTCTACTTGACATGCTGTTGGCTTGCATTTACAAAGCAGCCAATCCAGGAGCCGAATTTGTTTACCTTGGCACTGACTGCACAGGAATGGATATAAGGAAAAATGTAGATATTATCATCTGTGATGGTGCTAGAGTGGTTTCCACTGTGTGCATTAATGCGTGTTAAAGCAGGTGTATTTGGTGTTTGACCTATTAAGGTAGTTGTAAGCGTAACCAGACAGAGTCTCAATTATTTGTGTTTTTTGTAGATGGCTGTGGTTCCTAATCCCCATGAGTCCACTGTATGTTCAGTTTTTCTTAAAACGTTTGGTTACATGTTTACATTTAGCCCACTAATCAACATCTAAAAACTTGATTTATATACTATGTCAATTTCATACCAAATATCCCAATTTTAGCCTAGATGTCCCATTTTTTTTTTTTTTTTTTACGTTCACATATAGTTTAAACATATCAGTGGACATAACTAACATGGCATTCATTAGCAACAGCTGCCAATGGCCAGAAGCATAGCTTACTAGTTTCTATGGCTAAGTGCTTAGCCCATAGCATGCTAGTTAGTTGGAAGCCATGTCCCAACATTATGACAAGGTGGAAAGCAAACTCCTTTCTTTTTTACTGAAAACCACAGCTAGCTACAGAGCTCGCCTGGTGATGTGGGAAAAAAAGGCATAAAAATTTGTGCTCACGACTTAATAACTTGTGGGAACGATTTTTTTTTACCACGACTTAATTACTCATGACCTCAACTTATTTATTTTGTGGGAATGACCTAAAATAACAAGTTGTGGTCATAAGTAACTAAGCAGTGGCCATGAATTAAACAAGTTGTTCTCACGAGTTTTTATTTTTCCTCCCAATGTCCCCATGGGTCCGTATCTAATGGGCCACTGATTACGAACAATTCCTCTAGTCTAAGACTTGAGCATTAGCTCTGTTGATAAAATAGCTAAGCCTTTCTTTGCCCCAGCCTCATCGCAGTTCTTAACGTGTAAATAATTTAGATTTTCATTCGTAGCATAATCCATATTCCCATATCAGCCTTATTATTCTCTGCTGGACACTGAACACAACAACTATGATTCACGTTTACATTTAACATTGTTAAATTCAAATTAAAATGTAGCTAAAGTTGTTGAAATGCAACCAATTACTAAATCATACATTTACAAACTGTTCTGCAAAAATTATTTAAAACGCAAATAATTACATGACTAATATTTTAAAGCACATAGCATTCCTTTATGTGCATTGGGATGGAGATGATTCCGTGTTGGACAAGTTCCTAGAGACACCATGTGATCCATCATCCTGCATAACAAGCAGCACACAGAACCCCAGTGAACAAACAAGGCAAGATAAAGATCTGCATGTGTGTAGAGATTAATAACAGGCTGCTTATGTCAGGGGAAAAATATTATTGATGCAGAGGCTCTAGAAAAGTACCAAGCTAAGAAGTGAAGCATATTTATGTGGATGGAGGAAAACCTGTCAGGATGGCAGGAAATGAAAGTAGTGATTGTTGTTTAATATTTGTTAATATGTCATAAATCTGCGTTACTCAAATAGAGGCTGGGGAGGAAGTTGAATGGAGGACAGGAGAGAGGGGAGGTGTGTTGAGCAAAGATAAAGAATGAAAAAACCTGTGATAAATGTGTTTATCTGTTTTCTTCCTTAGGTTTCATATCCTGTGTGGGCCCAACTGTGTTTCCTGCTTGCTGATGACGCAGGGAAGCTGGTGGTGTCTGTGTATCTTGCGTCTGCGTTTCTTATATCTACATTGTGGAAATCTGTTATATCACCAAGCATGTCGGTTAGGCAAGCAGCGTCTGATCTCCCGCAGCCAGAGTTTCATCAAGCATGTGAATGGGTGTCAGTCAGGACTTCCAGACCACCTGTGGGACGGTTGGTTATTAAGGCACAGCTGGGTGTGCTTTCATTTTAATTGGCAATGTTACATTGTGCTGTGTCTGAAGGAATGAGAAACGAATGCAGGGAATAGAGATACATTTCCAGAAGGGGTTTAAAGATAAAAGCAATAAAAATGTAAACGTATTGTGCTTAAAACTTGGAAAACTGTAAAATGTGTCAGCTTAAGAGCCTTTTATAGTGCATACCTAGTGTGTAGCGCAAAAGTATTCATGCCACGTTATAACCACATGGCTTTAAAATGGGATTTTATCTGATGGCTGACACATAATTAAGTTCAAAGGAGAATGTTAGTAGACCTCACCTACTAATTAACTCTACTAATTAGTTGTGTCTGTATCTGTACTAAAAATATCTGTATTGTACAGATGTTTTGTATAGATGTTTATGTTTGTTAGATAATCTCAGAGAGCTAATAGCATAATTGTGTCAAAGAACACAGAGAAAATGTATTTTTTTTTACATTTTATTTAAATTTTAAAAAATGTCTCTTTTAAGTTTTCCGATGCCCGTTTAGGATACAAGTCGTTCGCAAAAGGTACTCTGGTCAGATGAGACAAAAGAGTAACTTTTTGACCCATACAGAAATATTTTTAAGTTGTAGCAGTCTTATGCCTTTCAAAACTAGACTTAACTCCAGTTGAGAATCTGCTGAAAACACAATGTTTGCCATGCAAACACTCAATCAAATCTCACTGAGTTTGAGATATTTTGCAAACAAGAACGAGCAAAAAAAAAAAAAAAAACAAAAAGAGAGAAAAAAAAATATAGAGCTGTCCCCAAAGACCTGCAGCTGTCATTGGAGAAAACGTTAGTTCTGGAAATTATTGACTCAGGTGGTTGAATATAAATGCTGACATATTTTTATTTCCAAGAAAATGTGACGCATGTATCCTTTTTGTTTTTCATTAGATCCCAATAAAAAGCCTGAAACTTGTTGAACCTTTTACTGCGAAAAGGTTCAAGGAGCAAGCATGCTTTTGTAAAGCACTGTTGAATGCGGCTCGGGTGTTTGTCACTTCACAAAGGTAAAAGGTCACCTTTTCTCAGAATCAGGTCAACTTTATGGCAGTAACATTTTTGTCAAAGAGCACACATAGATCAGTGTCTAAACTAGAAGGCAGCATACACAGATCAGAACAGACCTTTGTTTTAAAAGTAACCAAAACAAGTTAATTAGATTTTTAGGAAACTCTTCTGCCAACTACATCCTGCACATTGTATGACATTGAAGCTTTGAAGTCTTGTGCACAATATGCAAATTTGTACAACACTGATCAGATATATTCTCTACTATTGTAACAATTTCAATGATAGAACATCAAAGGGCTTGCAAGGAACGCACAATCGAAAATGACTTAAAAATATTTAAATAAAATAAACAGTAAGAATGAACCAAGAATGACATATCTGGCAGTGCTTAGCATGCCTCAAAAATAGACTACTGCAAGAAATGCAGGAGAAAGATTTTTTTTTGTTTTTGTTTTTGTTTTTTCATGGTAACAACAGTTCCCTGACCCAAAGATTATTGAAAATCGAAGACAAACCTCAAAAGAACGGTGCATTAAAGGCTTGAAAATTTCACTGAACAGGAAAAGAAAAAGTGAAAATCCACTAAGTCAGAACTTGAAAGTCTCATGGAGCCTTTCAACAGCTCCCACATTCCTGGAACATTTCCACAAAGTGTATTATATCGGGATGCTATGTGACAAAGCAAATACGAGCAATTTCATGGTTGTTAAGTGGAAGGAAAATGATTCATGGATTTTTTTTTTAACTCAAACATCTGAAAACTGTGCGAGACATTTCCATGCAACCCTCCTGAGTCAAATCCTTATAGAAGCACATTTTGGTGAACAAAGCTGAAAGACTTTTGGGCTGTGTCATCACCAGCTTTGCAAGCTGAGAGGCAGAATAGGTTGTGCCAATTCTTTATAGAAAGTGCTCAGACAGACTGAGCTCTGCCCATGTCAATTGATTTGCAGACTGTAATTCCAGGATCGTCGTGTGTTTATCTACATTAATCTTTCCCTGTTCTTAAAGAAAATCTCTCCCACAACATGATACCATGTATTAGTTTCTTCCAAACAAAAAGAATACATTAAAATAACTTCAGTGTATCTGACCAAAGCACCTCCTTGCACACATTGCTCTCAGATTTGTGGAGGACTAAAATTTGTCCTGCCAACGTGTGACTTCTGAAGTTAATGCACAAATAAACATGAAAAGCATGTCTTTTCCTTTCACTTAACAATTATGCACCTCATTGTATTGGTCTTCCTTTTAAAAGTCTTTGCAAGTTTATTGAGGATATTTTTAAGTTGTCTGAATTTTTTTTACTTTAATAGAAACTGCTGTCTGAGCTGAAATGTGACAGTTTAAACCTATAGAGACTTTTGCAATTAAAGCGATGTGTTCTATTTGTTACATTACTTTGATCTTGTCATCATTTCAAGGGGCTTATTTTTTGTTTGCCTGTCCCCTCAAAGCATAACCATGCAATGAAACTCTAGAGACATTCTCTTGATAAACCGCAATACTTATCTGAACACCAGTAAAGCCATAAAGTCTGGTATAAAATACTCCGATTCCTCTCATATTCGCAGACATTCTGAGCTGGATTTTAAAGCACCGCCAAAAGCACAAAAAAGTTCCCTGGGGTCTGAAGGAGAGATAGCGAAAAGAAAGGATCAGAGAAGAAAGTTGGAGTTTAAAGTGGAGGAATGAGCAGGAGAAAAAAGCCTGCAGGAATGAAGAGCAGCTGTTGAGCGTTGCTCCCTCCTCTGAGAACTTCTATACATGCTACAGGCTCCTGCAACTGGCTCACGCTACATTACAGCAGCTGTCTGAAAAAAAAAAAAAAAAAAAAAAAATCAACACACTGTAGTGTCTTTCTTGATTATCTACACTTTAAAACACATTATCCACACATTTAAAAAAACAACAACAACAAAAAAACACCTCAGCTCCTGTCTTTAACATATATGATAAATGAAGATGAACAGAAATGGCGCACATAGCTGGGAGCGTGCTGAGCTCTGCAGCATAATGAAAGAGTATAGCACATTCTTCGCAGTTGACCTTTGTTTCCCAACTCTCACAACAACAAAAAAAATAAAAATAAAAAAAAATAATAAATTTTAAAACATGCCCAACTGCCTGAGGTTAGACACACACAGGTGCCAGAAAAAACATGTTTACATCAGGCGGTGATGCCTGCCCGATTCCCTCCTACGCCTCTCTATGTCCCGTCTTTCTCTGTGCGCTCCCTCGTGTGTTGTAATAGTAATAGCGGTGACAGTTAGAGCAACTTAGAGACGTCCCAGGAGTGCACCTGATAATTACTATCTTATGCTCCACTGATTTACTAATGGGGCTTTTCCATTGTAGCCGAGCTTGTCCTCCATTTTCTCTTCCTCGCACTCAGGTATTCACTCCCTTCTCTCCAGCTGGTGGAGTAAACAGGGTTTGAGGCGCATTTTCCTTGTTTTGGTCAACGAGGATGAGTACACATGGAGAGATGTTTTTTTGGGGTTTTTTTTTTACTTTTGCTTTTATTTTATGTCTCTTCTGAACTCCTTTTACGAAGAAAAAAAAATCCTTCTAGTGATGATTATTATGAGAGCAGAAGGGTCTTCATGTGCTGTAACGGAAAAAAGAGCAACTGCAGCTTCCTGGTATATCAGCCTCCTGACTATTTATGTGTGAGTAAGGAGCTCTGGTACTTCTCTCAGACGGATCCTTATCGGCTTATCAGGCCTGTCCACTTTATTTGATGCGAGATCTGAAAGCATAGCTCTGTAAAAAATCTCTGTTACACATATAGGATGAAAAATGTAAGAGCATTCATGCATGAGAAAGAGCAAGTGTATCTTTCCATATTCTCAGTTACTTAAATTATTTATCTCCATAACTCCCCTTCTGCCTCTCAGTGCTGCCTGGCTGCATTTTTCTAATACTGCAGAACAGTAGAGTGACTTGCAAAAATAAGTAAAATCAGTATATTTTACTGGAAATGCATGCAGTTGACGGTACAACAGAATCATGTTTTCTTATATATATATATATATATATATATATATATATATATA